GCTGGGATTACAGGTGTAAGCCACTGTGCCTGGTCTTTTTTTTTTTTTTCTGAGAGAGTCTTGCTCTGTTGCCCAGGCTAGAGTGCAATGGCACAATCTCTGCTCACTGCACCCTCAGCCTCCCAGGTTCAAGTGATTCTCCTAACTCAGCCTCCCAGCAGCTAGGATTACAGGCATGTACCACCAGACCCAGCTAATTTTTGTATTTTTCATAGAGACAGGGTTTCACCATGTTGGCAAGGCCGGTCTTGGACTCCTGACCCTCAGTTGATCCACATGCCTCAGCCGCCAAAAGTGCTGGGATTATAGGCGTGAGCCACCACACCGGCCTTAGCTTTTAAAGTTTCTGAAGAAGACACCATTAAGCTTTGGAAGGGGGGAAAAAAAAATCACAAATACTAATAGCCTGTATAGTACTGTTAGTGACATCCAGTACTGACAGTAGAAAATTAGGGATATGGAGAAAATATAAAGATTAGAAATTTATTTGGCCTAAGTACATTCAGTGAATTTTTGAGATCCACCATTGCTCTTCCTGCTCCTCACTCCCTAAACTGAGCACTTTCTACTTGCTTCATGTTCTGAAGGTCTAAGCACAGAAAGTACTGTAATTTGTTTCACAACAATGGCAAAAAGTGTCTTTTCTTTTCAAAAGTTTTTATATGCTTTACTTAAACTGCCCAAACCCAAAAAGGCAGTATATTCCTGAGTTCACACTTTGTAACAAGTTTTAAACATCCCAAAGTAAAAGTAACAAAATTTTAATTGATGAGTTTCCTATTCTAAGACATATATGTATATATTCATATCTGAGTGTTTCTGAAAATCATACCCATATTTTCATGTATACATTTAATGCAATAGCTTCTTTTTTCCTTCTCAAGAAACTGTTTTTAACCTAAGTCTATGAGCAAGCCAGGTTATATATAGTATACTAGATGTTCCCAAAGAGAAATATTTCAGATTTGTTAAGGGTTATGTAAAGTACAAATATCTTGGATCTCAAAAAATCAATTTTAGAAAGAGGGAAAGAAGAACAAAAAGTAAAACTTTCCATTTTAGGTTCAAATATTCACAAATTTTATGGTTGCTACCTTCTATTATTACTTTATGTATGTTTTCCCTGTACAACTACCCTGTGAAGGTTAGAAGACAAGGAACACCAGGATGGGGGTGGGGGGCAGAGAAGCTGCTACAGTGTATACACATGCCACATATCTATTATGTGCATTAATTCTGTGTGTCATGTTTTGAGGTGTATAACTCATCAAAAATTTAGAATTGCAGTCACAGGCCGGGCGCGGTGGCTCACACCAGTAATTCCTTTGGGAGCCAAGGTGGGCGGATCACGAGGTCAGGAGTTTGAAACCAGCCTGACCAACATGGTGAAACCCCATCTCTACTAAAAACACAAAAATTAGCCAGGCATGGTGGTGTGCACTTGTATCTCAGCTACTTGGGAGGCTGAGGCAGGAGAATCACTTGAACCCAGGGGGCAGAGGTTGTAGTCAGCCGAGATTGTGCCACAGCACTCTAGCCTGGGCAACAGAGTGAGAGTCCGTCTCAAAAAAAAAAATAAATAAAGAATTGCTGTGGCAATATTAACAAAAAAGAATTCACAATAAGTGTCATAGTAAAAAGTATATACAGAGCATTGTGGAGGCACACAGGAAAGGCACCTAATCCTTTTCAGCACAAATGCTGTACAGGTGCTACCAGGAAGGCTTCTGGGAGGAAATAATGCCTATATTAAGACTTGGAAAAAAAGGAGAAACAGCAGTGTGCTTGGAAATACTGACAGGGATTTCTTTTCTATAATGGTATAAATAAAGAATTCTGCATGGTAGGTGCTCAGTACCCATATAAGGATATTAGGCAGGTAAACCTCTTATTACTTTCCCTTTTTTTTGGTGGGGGAGGGATGGGAGGAAATGAAAAGGCAAAGAATGAGTATAATCAAGTATAAATGAAAAGAGCAAATGCAGGATAAATGAATGAATGGTATAAACTCTGGTTTTGACACACCTTAGTTGAAACCTGGAATTCTAGCACTTACTAGGCTATGTGATCTTAGGTAGGCACCCAATTCTCTAAGCCTCATGGGATATAATACATATTGATTTGTCTAGTTGTCTAATTAGTTTCCCCACCAGATTGTAAGCAACAAAAGACAGAGGACATGCAAAGTATCTTATACCATTGTCTAGTAAATCCTTGGCAAAATGCTTGGCACACAGTTGTTAATAAATGTTGACTATCATTAAGTACTTTGTTATGATTCAATTACAGCAGCACCATGACCTCAGCATAGTATTATATGTTTGATTATATTCTGAAGAGATCAAAAATTACTAACTGGTTCCTTATTTCAATATAAAACATTTATAAAATTAATGCTGCCCCTATACTAAAAGTTTTACTAATAATGAGAGTCATAAAGTCTTCTAAATCTGAACAAAAAGTTTAGAAAAACTTGTCCTTGGAGATATTACAGAGTTCAATCTATACTGCAAGAAAGGTATAATTTTTTTTCTTCTCTAAAGTGTTTCTCAACTAAGGGTGCTTTTGCCTGCAAGGTACATATGGCAATATCTAGAGATATTTTTGACTGTCACAAATAGGTGTGTAGGAGTGTTACTGGCATGTAGTGAGTGAAGGCCAGGTATGTTGCTAAATATCCTGTAATGCCCAGGCAGCTCTCACAACAACAAATTTTCTAGTTCAAAATGTCAATACTGGTGAGGTTGGGGGGCAGAGGAATTGAAGGGTAGAAGGTAAGTAAAGATATAACTGCATAAACATTTACAAGTAAGTTAGGTTTAATAGTATCAGAATTCATGTGTATTACTGTAACTTATTCATTTTTACCAAGTTTTAAATTTTTAAAAAGAGGTTTGAAGGGATTTAGATTTTTTTCCTAATATTTATCTACAATTAAGAGAATGGTCTCTCTAAAATAGACCATTTTCAGGTCCATGAAAATATTGTTTTCAATAATTCAGAAAAAAAAATATAAATATAATTTCAGGTCTTAGAAATGAAGCCCTAATCTGTATCTCAGAGTAAGAAGGCACAGTCACATCAAGCTGAAAGGAAAAAGACGCATCTGGCTTATATTTCCTACTATTTTTTATCAGTACACTGATTTTCAACATACAAAGCAGATTTAAATGTGTTAATTTTATTCATTTATATATGGAAGGTGGAAGAAACATGTGGCACTTTGCCATTCTACTACCTCTTCTTTGCCATTTAACTCTGCTGTTTCTTTATTAATGATCCCCACCCCTACCTCCACATTATTTTTTTCTTTCTTTTTTTTTTTTTTTTTTTGGGAGACAGAGTCCCACGTGATCTCTGCTTACTGCAACCTCTGCCTTCTGGGTTCAAGCAATTCTCCTGCCTCAGCCTCACAAATAGCTGGGATTATAGGCACATGCCACCATGCCTGGCTAATTTTTGTAATTTTAGTAGAGATGAGGGTCTCACCATGTTGGCCAGGCTGGTCTCAAACTCCTGACCCCAGAAGATCCACCTGCTTTGGACTCTCAACATGCTGGGATTACAGGTGTGAGCCACTGTGCCCGGCCCCTACCTCCACATTATTTCTGATACATGTTTTATAGCACATGTACACTAATTATTATTTAAAATTGTGAGGTGACACCACACACAGTAATTATATGATGAAATTTAAATTACGGCAGTGAAAATGTAAACTCTAGTTACTATAACAAATGGAATTGGCCAGGCACAGTGGCTCACACCTGTAATCTTAGCACTTTGGGAGGCCAAGGCGGGTGGATCACTTGAGGTCAAGAGTTCAAGACCAGCCTGGCCAACGTGATGAAACACTGTCTCTACTAAAAATACAAAAGAAGTTAGCTGGGCATGATTGTGGGCACCTGTAATCCCAGCTACTCAGGAGGCTGAGGCAGGAGAATTGCTTGAGCCCGGTAGGCAGAGGTTGCAGTGAGCAGAGATCATGCCATTGTACTCCAGCCTGGGAAATAGAGTAAGACTATGTCTTAAAAAACAGAAAAACAAATGGAATCATTAGGCAGAGGTGAATCTAGGTGGTAACATCACAAGTAGTTGATGCAGTTATTTATCAAATATCTTTTGGAATAACATCAATCTTTGGTTTCATATTTGAGAAAAACTGTGTCATCAAAATACAATAAACTGATTTACAATTTTTTTTTTTGAGACTGAGTCTCACTCTGCCACCCAGGCTGGGGTGCAATGGTGCAATTTGGCTCACTGCAACCTCCACCTCCTGAGTCCAAGTGATTCTCTTGCCTCAGCCTCCCGAGTAGTTGGGATTATAGGCATGCGCCACCACACCTGGCTAATTTTTGCATTTTTAATAGAGATGGGGTTTCACCATGTTGGCCAGGCTGGTCTTGAACTCCTGACCTCAGGTGATCTGCCTGCTTCAGCCTCCCAAAGTGCTGGGATTACAGACATGTGCCACTGTGCCCGGCTGACTTACAAATTTTAAACTATAATTTTTGAAACAGTTTTAATAAGAAATCTAACCCATGGAAAGCTATTGCTAAAGCCTTTGGCTGATGTAAACATGAGGCTCTGTAGAACATAAAAAGGTGCATTAGGGTAAAAAAGTACTTCTATTGAGGCACAAATCCAAAAACTTAAATAATAAAAAAAAGTCTGTCTCATTTGAAGAAATGTTGGGGTTTATTTCCATATTATTAGAGACACATATCACATTAATATTCAAGAGCAGTTATATAATTTTGTCATATATGCAAATATATTGAGCCTGAAAAGTATGATGAAAGTCCTTAACTGTCTACTAAAATTATTTTTTTGACCATCATTTAATTTCATAGGAAAATCAAAGTGCCACAGTCCTCCAAAGACATTAGAGTGACAATATCAGAGATTCTTCTAAGCTAATATTTTACATCTGAAGGGTTTAGGCAATTCTTTGTGCATGTACCCACATAATTCAACAACTTGCAAAGTGATCATACCTCTTCAATACCAGCTATATTATTCACAGCCAGTTTTTTCAGAGAACTCTGAAGCTTTTTGTCATCAGCTGTAGCTGTTCTATGTACTACCTTCTTCTTTCTGCGAGCTGTACCCTGAAAAATAACCAAACAGAAGTGTTAGCATGCCTGCTATCTGGCAACTCTGATCATATCTTATCTATCACGACAATTTAACTAAAACCCACATTAAAAAATGGACAAAACAATAATGATTAATATTATAAGACTGCTCAGAGGTTGTGACTGTTGGCCGAATGCAGATTTTTAAAGGTTTTGTTTTCCCTTATCAGCTTTCTCAGGTTGAATTCTTCTTCTTCTTCTTCTTCTTTTTTTTTTTTTAAAGATGGGGTTTCACCATGTTGGCCAGGCTGGTCTAGAACTCCCGACCTGGTGATCCACCAGCGTCAGCCTCCCAAAGTGCTGGGATTATAGGCATGAGCCACTACGCCCGGCCTGAATAATTCTTATCTAATATCCAGACTTCATCATTTCAACACAAGATACTGTTTGCTAATAAAACATCATTTATAACTTCAAGACAATTTAAGTACATTATAAACAATTTTAAAACATTATCTTTTCTTATAGTAACTACCACTCCTTGTGAATAGTCTAAAGATATTCTGAAATTTTGGGAATTATGTCATAACTGAAAATTAAAAGCCTATATTACAAGAGAAAAAAACCAATAAATATATAAGCAAATTAGATAACTTCGAATGAGATTAAGTACTATTAAGAAAAAAACAAAACTAGAGCATAGGAAGAATGACTAAGGAGTAAAGCACCACTCTATCAGAAGGTCCAGGAAAGCCCCCTCTGAAGAGGTGGCATATGAGTTGAGACCCATAACTAGGGGAAGAATGATCTAAGCAGAATGAAGCAAGGTTGAACTTGTCCTTTCTAGAGAGAGAAAATGGGCCAGTATGGTTAGAGCAGAGTGAACAATGGGAAATGAGGAATATGAAATCAGAAAGATAGTCAAGGACCAGATTATATAGCCTAGAGTGCCATGGACAGGAGGTAGATTTTATCCTGATTGCAATGGGAAACCATTGAAAGGTTTTAAGCATGGGAATGACTTGATCTGGTTATTTATGACTGAGGTTGCTATGTGGAAAATGGATTATAATGAGACCAGTCAGGAGGCTCCTGTAGCTGTACTGGCAAGAGATGAGGGATATGGCAGTGAAGATGGTGAGGGGTCAGATTCTCACAAGAGACCACATGACTGCTGATGGATTACATGTGGGATATGAGAAAAAGAGGAAATTTGGATGATGCTTAGAATCTTGGCCTCAGCAAATAGGTTGAAAATATACTAGTCACTGAGAAAGAAAAAGTTCATTTCTAAATTGATACTTTGAAACTAAATATATTTTTCCACTGAAATACTATTTAAAATAATGGATTAAATTCCTGGATCAGTTTATTAAGTCTTAAGGGTTAAATCTGTCTAAAACTGGTTTAAGAGTAAAGTGAAGGCCGGGCGCGGTGGCTCAAGCCTGTAATCCCAGCACTTTGGGAGGCCGAGGCGGTGGATCACAAGGTCAAGAGATCGAGACCATCCTGGTCAACATGGTGAAACCCTGTCTCTACTAAAAATACAAAAAATTAGCTGGGCATGGTGGCGCGTGCCTGTAATCCCAGCTACTCGGGAGGCTGAGGCAAAAGAATTGCCTGATCCCAGGAGGCGGAGGTTGTGGTGAGCCGAGATCGCGCCATTGCATTCCAGCCTGGGTAACATGAGCGAAACTCCGTCTCAAAAAAAAAGAGTAAACTGAAAGGAATAGTGGTTTCAATCTCTGGTTAGCTCCTATACTCAGTAGTCAGGGAATCAACCTTGTAGAGGGGAAGCAGGCGCTTCAGTCTCAGCAATTCTGGTGGGAGCAGAGGAGAGATCTGACAGCAGAGGATGCCTTGAAATCTTGTTGCTGAAGGATTGACTATTTACATAGGCACTCACTTGTGAAGCAGTCCTGACTCAACTCAAGGACAGCTCACTTGCTGAATACCTCAACTCAAATGATCCTCAGGCACCTCAAATTCAGCATGTCTTAAAGCTTACCAGTCTGCCAATCTACTCTTTCTATATTTCCTAACTTTTGTAGCTAGTGGTACCACCGAATACTCAGTCTCTAAAATCACGAACCTGAGGGTTATCCCAGACTCTTCTGCATGCCCTTCACCCCCCCATATCCCATCAGTCACTAAATCATGTCAATTTCAAACTCCTAAATTTGTATCCCATGTAAGAGGTCCCCAGCTCCTGGGCCACTAACCAGTACCAGTCTGTGGCCTGTTAGGAACATGGTAGCACAGCAAGAGGTAGGGCGGGGGTGGAGGGCATGAGCAAGCATTACTGCTTGAACTCCACTACCAATCAGATCGGCGGCAGCATTAGATTCTCATAGGAGTGAGAACCCTATTGTGAACTGTGTATGAGAGGGATCTAGGTTGTGTACTCCTTATGAGAATATAACTAATGCCTGATGATCTGAGGTGGAACAGCTTTATTGCAAAACCATTATCCCCCGAATCTATGGAAAAACTGTCTTCCATGAAACCAGTCCCTGCTGCCAGAAAGGTTGAGGACTGCTGCCTTATACTATAGCAATAGTCTCTTAATTGTTCTCCTCTGTGCCATACTTCCATTTGGTCCATTTCCACAGTGCCAGCAGTTACCTTTCTAAAATGGCAATCATTTCCTTCTTAAAATCCTTTAATAGTTCTCCATTGCCTATAGGATAAACTCCAAGCTCCTTAGTATGGCATATGTAAGTATGATGGAATCCCAAACTATGTTTCATTTCCTACCATTCTGTATCCATTAGGTACTCTAAAGAATAGCTGTACTGGCTGGGCGCAGTGGCTCACATCGGCTCCCAGCACTCTGGGAGGCCAAGGTGGGCGGATCATAAGATCAGGAGTCCGAGACCAGCCTGATCAACATGGTGAAACCCATCTATAATAAAAATACAAAAATTAGGCAAGGCATGTGGCTTTCACCTATAATCCTGGCACTCTGGGAGGCTGAGGTAGGTGGATCACCTGAGGTCAGGAGTTTGAGACTAGTCTGACCAACATAGAGAAACCCCATCTCTATGAAAAACATAAAAACAAAAAACCAAAAATTAGGCCAGGTGCAGTGGCTGACACCTGTAATCCCAGCACTTTGGGAGGCCAAGGTGGGTGGATCAAGAGGTCAGGAGTTCAAGACCAGCCTGGCCAATATGGTGAAACCCCATCTCTACTGAAAACACAAAAAACTAGCTGGGCATGGTGGTACACACCTGTAGTCCCAGCCGCTCGGGAGACTGAGGCAGGAGAACTGCTTGAGCCCAGGAAGTGGAGGTTGCAATGCACTGAGATTGTGCCACCACACTCCAGCCTGAGTGATAGAGCAAGACTCTGTCTCAATAAAAAAAAAAATTAGCTGGGTGTGGTGGCATATGCCTGTAATCCCAGCTACTCAGGAGGCTTAGGCAGGAGAACTGCTTGAACCTGGGAGGCAGAGGTTGCAATGAGCTGAGATTGCACCACTGCACTCCAGCCTGGGCAACAGAGCCAAGCTCCATCTCAAAAAAAAAAAAAAAAAGAATAGCTGTACCAAATTAAAGCAAGCCATTCCATTAAGTACTGTGTTATCTCAGCATATGTGCCTTTGCAAGTAAAGAAATGACAACCTGTTTCACTCCACGAACCCTCATCTTTTTGTTTGAGACAGAATCTTGTTCTGTCACCCAGGATGGAGTGCAGTGGCGCAATCTCAGCTTACTGCAACCTCCACCTCCCAGATTCAAGCAATTCTCCTGCCTCAGCCTCCTGAGTAGCCGGCACTACAGGTGCATGTCACCATGCCCAGCTTATTTTTGTATTTGTAGTTGAGACGGAGTTTTACCATATTGTCTAGGTTGGTCTTGAACTCCTGACCTCATGATCCACCTGCCTCAGCCTCCCAAAGTGCTGGGATTATAGGCATGAGCCACTGCGCTGGCTCTTGTGTTTTGTTTTTTTGAGACGGAGTCTTGCTCTGCTGCCCGGGCTGGAGTGCAGTGGCATGATCTCGGCTCACTACAACTTCCATCTCCTGGGTTCAAGTGATTTTTCTGCCTCAGTCTCCCAAGTAGCTTGGACTACAGGTGTGCGCCACCACACCAGGCTAATTTTTGTACTTTTAGTGGAGACGGGGTTTCACCATATTGGCTAGGCCGGTCTTCAACTCCTGACCTCAAGTGATCTACCTGCCTCAGCCTCCCAAAGTGTTGGGATTACAGGCATGAGCCACTGTACCTGTCTACTGGCTTTCTGCCTAGTGATAAATTCTTGTTTATCCTTTTTAAGTAAGATCTCAGTGATGACTTCCTTGTCTCCTAGAGGCAAGAGCAGCTTGTATTTCATTATAACACTCACTATTCTGCATTATAATTGTGAGCATGTCTCTCTTCCAAACAGAGCTGTGATCTCGTTTATCTTCTATATGCCTGGCACACAGGAGGTGCTCAATATACAATAGCTAAATTGAATGTACCAACCACTGTTTTAAAATACATAATGGTGATATGCTACATCAAGCTCTTCTAGGTTTATTCTGTGGTTCTTGACTATCCCTAGTTTTTGCATTGGTACATTACATCACACTTGATGCTACAGTGAGACTACTGTGGTTACATGGGTGTTAATCGAACTCCAGACTCATATAACTGTATCACTATGGAAGAATGAGAAAGTACTGGCTCTTCTTCCCTTCCCTCCCCTTGTGCTCATCCCCAGGAACTGTGGTTATCATCATTGTAAAAGACACAGTGGGACTTGCTACAAAAAGTAGTGTCTTACCTACCACTTCCTCAGGTCTGAGGTAAGAACTGTTCTTTCTTTCCTTTTTGCAAAGATTGTATTGGGCAAGATATGGGTAGAATATTCTCCTTGAGCCTGGAGCCACACCTGAAGGGAATCAAAGACTTTGGTGTTCACAACTAGCTCTTCCTTAGGCTTTAAAAAATACAGGGAATAAGAAAGCTCATATTCATACTCAACAACATGGAAGAATAGGTAAGAATTTGTGAGGAAAACGTGGCAATGAAAAAAATACATAATCAACTTAAGTGTCTCCAGCTAATCCTCTGTACAAGTAGGTATATCCAGTTAAGAGGCAGTAACCCTAATAACTGGTATGTCCTGCAGGTGAGTCTAACTATAATAATAGCTATCATGTATTAAGCATCTACTTTGTGTCAGACACCATGTTAGGTGTTTTATAAATATTACCCTAATCTTTAAACACCTTATGTAGGATTATTTGTATTTTGCAGATAAGAAAGTGGAAGCTTAACAAGGATGAATAGCTTGTTCACATCATACAACTAGCAGATGTTAAGGGTTAGGATTCAAACAAATGTGGCTATTTCCATTGCATTATCAGAGAGACAAGTGTTCTAGTTAGCTATTTTGGATCTAGACAAGTTATTTTCAAATTGGAATGTGGTTTGATCTTGATTATCGAAAAGATTTTAGATTTTCAATGACCACAAATCTGAAATAACAACACTATCTGGTAATCATACATTCTCCTATCAATTTTTCTTATGCCACACTCACCTTGCCCCCTATCCGGACCTGAGCCTGAAGTTTGGCTAACTTTTCTTGATTCATGCTGTTGGTAAATCTAGGGGGGGAAAAATAGATTTGTTAAAGTCACTTTTTTTACCAAAATTAAAAAACTGTTTATACAACAGTACCTTCTGGTTCACTCATCTTGTAGTATGCATCAACACCATGACTATATGAATACTATCTATATTCTTAAAAACTTGTTCGAGCTTCATAAACCAGATATTTTTACAAATCAAAGTTAAGGCACCATGAGGGAATCAAATATACAAACAGAAAATAGAATGGGATTCAAACCCATCTATTCAAAGATCCCTCCTTAAAACATGATTTAGTCCTTTGGCGTTCAGTTAAACCTAACCAATTATGAAATTTCTGTAGGGAAGCCAGTTTTTTCTCCCAAAGATTTTTTCAGCAAAGAGCTGTTACCAAATGTTATTAGCAAAATCTCCAAGTAGATTTCTTTCCTCCCAAATCACACTCTGTATTTCTTATAAATATGACAAAAAGAAAAAAAACCTGAACAAAGAAGAAATTCAACAAAAGGCTGTCTAGCTGTCAAGATATCAAGTAGTCAAATCCTCTATTCAAGGTCAGATGATGTTAATAATGGGGAAAGAGAACCAGGTTTTCAGACATTTCTCCAGAGTTCATTCAATACCCTGCACTGATACAGTATGTTATCATTGCATGTTGTCAAGTTATTCTTGCATACAGGGTAAAATGCTTCATTATACAATTTAAGAAAAACATGTCTTTGCTACAGTAATAAATGTGGGGGGGGGGCAGTGAGGAGACTTCTAAAATAAGCTTTTCAAAGATAATCTTGATTTTGAAGATTCCAACATTATAGTCATGAATCTGGTCTGGTCAGTGATATTGGCACTAAGGAAAAAACATTCCTAAGTTTATAATGGGTCATAACATTCCCATTACAAATAAAAGCCAAATTAAGGCCAGGCGTGGTGTCTCACACCTATAATCCCAGTACTTTGGGAGGCTGAAGTGGGCAGATCACCTGAGGTCGGAAGTTCAAGACCAGCCTGACCAACATGGAGAAACCCCATCTCTACTAAAAATAGAAAATTAGCTAGGTGTGGTGGCACATCCCTGTAATCCCAGCTACTCAGGAGACTGAGGCAGGAGAATAGCTTTAACATGGGAGGTGAAGGTTGTAGTCAGCTGAGATTGTGCCATTGCACTCCAGCCTGGGCAACAAGAGCAAAACTCTGTCTCGGGGGGAAAAAAAAACCAGCCAGGCTCAGTGGCTCATGCCTGTAATCCCAGCATTTTGGCAGTCCAAGGTGGGCAGATCACAAGGTGGAGACTATCCTGGCTAACATGGTGAAACCCTGTCTTTACTACAACCACAAAAACTAGCGGGGCATGGTAGCACGTGCCTGTAGTCCCACCTACTAGGGAGGCTGAGGCAGGAGAATTGCTTGAACCTGGGAGGCAGAGATTGCAGTGAGCCGAGATCCTGCCACTGCACTCCAGCCTGGGCATCAGAGCGAGACTTCGTCTAAAACAAACAAACAAATAAAAACAAACAACAACAACAAAAAAACCCAAGAAGTTAAGTCTTGTTTTACTCATTCTGTGTATCAACAAATCACTACTGAGATGTGAGGGAGGGAATAGGGATGAGGCTGTTATCAAACCTTCTTTGGCCAATTCTCTAACCCCTTTATAGTCATTATTCACATGAAAAGATACTGTTTGCTTCATTTGAGGGATTAAAAAAAGGAGCATCAGACAATATAATTACTAACCATTCTATACTTTGACACTGTACTTAGGCACTAACCTGTATATATCTCTTCTTTAAGGCTAATGTCCAGTTCCCAAATAATATTTAGAATGTATGATTCTGCACTCTGCTCAGCACTGTATCACAGTGCTCAAGCAGCTAAAAAACACTCTTTTATAGGAGGAAGCATGTTTAGAGCCCAGAACAAGAAGTCTTAAGTGTGTGCCAATCTTAGCTCTGCCATAGACTTAAATCCCAATCCCTATACTCAAATATCCACAGAAAAGGCCCAACATTCATTTTTCTGGAAAGGAATGTGGCTATGAGAGTGTAGTGAACTAACAAAGAGCCTAAGGAATTTACTGCAAAAAAAGGGGGGCTAAGGAAAAACATTCGGTGTAGATACAGGGTACCCTTTGGGATTCTTCTGCATTTTGAAGTAACAATTCCCAAGAGACAAGACAGAGGTTGGGATGCCAAGACAAAGTCCTGACTTGTTTGAAACAAAAGCAAGAACAAAATTAACTCTTTAAATCAAGGTATAAAGAACAGATTCCAACCCAGGTGGTCAGGACTACAGAATTGAGAAATCTTGTTTCTAAGGAGTATCTCAGAGAAAAAGGATTTTAGGGAGACTGGGAGCTCAAGGCAGTCGGGGAGGAAGAAGAGTGGTCTTTTGTTTTTTACTTAGCAAGTTGTGGTGCGTAGAATTCAAGTAGGACTGAGACTGAACTCAGTCTATGAGATGTCAAGCTCAGAATCTGAAGTAGACCTCTAAGATCACCTGGTTTAATTCTCTCTTTTCAACCAACCTTTACTTTATTGCACCCATCATTCCTGTGATGCCATCTCAACACCAGCTAGCAGCGGCAAATTACGAATAAAACAATTCTCTCCCTCCCAATTTAACAGATTAGGAAATGAGGGCCCAGAAGGGAGAAGTCCTTTCTTAGGCCCAAAAGGGAGAAGAAACTTCCTAAAGCCACAGGATTAATGAGTTCTTCCTTGGGGATCCCAGGATCTTTTAGCACTGTTCTCAAGGACTCAAGAAAGAGTGTAAACAATGAGGCTTATCTGTATTTATTAAGTGCCTAGTTAGAAGCATTGTGGTAGGCACTTTCACATACACCATGTTTACACAGAGATTAAAAATAATAGCAACCTTGAGTCCTGACTTTTTATTATGCAGGGTTTCTCTAAGAGAAGTGCAGGCTTTGGAATTAGAAAGACCAAGGTTCTACCACTTGGGAAAGGTATTTTACTTCTCTGAACTTGTATTCTTCCTGCATTTGGAAAGATATAACACCACGTACTTCACAAGGTTGTTTTGAGGGTTAAAAGATTATCAAGCACAGGGAAGTAACAGAAGATAGTTACTGGTAACTATTGTTACCACTCCCGAAGGGGACAACCAAGGTAAACTACAACAAGGTGGGAACGGAAGTGGAAACCGCCATTCACTAGCTGAGCAACACTGAGTCTGTCGGTCAGTCAGCAGGCAGTGGGAGGGGGTTATAAAGACGACAACTTATAAACAAACGCTGGCATTACAAGGTGAAGAGCGCTGCCAACTAAGTTCGGTTCCCTGGACTTGGGGGCGGGAAGTGGTAACCTCAGCTTCCCTATCTGTATACTGGGAATAACAAATGAAATGACAACAGAGAGCCTGTATAAAGCCCAAAGCTCACAACACTGCTGTTGGGAACAAGGAGTAATGGGACAGAGGAAAAGCGTCCACCGCCTCCGGGGACTGGATCTGGGCTGCAACAGCGCGGGCCCGCTCGCTCCCACAGGGGGCGGTGGTGCTGGGGACCTTCCCTCAGATGCCGACCCCCAGCTGCGCCGCCGGTAACCGACTGGCCAAGCCAGCCGCCTCCGCCCCCGCTCGCCGCGCCACGGCGGAAGTGGCAGCCTGAGCGGTTGGCGGCTGTCGGAAGGAGAGGGCGGGGGGAGACCGTGAGCAGCGGCCTATGGCCGTGGAGTGGCGGGACCGCCGGGGGTCTCACCTGAAGCAGGGAGGGTCCTCCAACAGCAGCACGCGGCAAGAGCAAGATGGCTGCCTCAGCAGAGACAGAGAAAGACCAAGGCGGCGGCGGCGGCGGCTGGAGCGGGTCCACGTGACAAAGTCGGTCCCGCCTCTCCCTCTCCGGGGCAGCCTATCCTGGGAGCGCACATCTGAACTGCAAAGGCCGGCCTGCTCTGCGAATGCCTCTACTGCTAGTGGCGGCAGGTGCAAGTGCCCGCGCGGCATCCTGGGGCTTGCAGTCTCCCTAGCGTTCCATTGTGTCCCTGCCTACAATTTTAGGGAACCTAACATAAAGGTGGTCGGTATGTTTCTCTTTGGGTGTATACTTTAGTTAGGTTGTTTTTTGGCTATGCATTAAGTACGCACTTTAGGACTCAACTAGTACCAGGAAGAAAGACCGGACATATTCACCTGTTATACAGCGGAGGGGAAAAATTGGGAAGAAATCCTCAAGCTACAAGAAAAATAACCAGAAGCTTTACCCTTTAAAAGCCTGCAGTGACTTCTGTCCTGGTGTGCTAAGTCCACCTAAGTCAGTTTTGCAATAAGAGGCCCTAAGTTTGGTTTTCTCGGAGCTTTTATCAGTTGGTTGCATCATCCCTGAGTAGATTTGCGGTTGCAAGGAAAAATAAGGTACAGAGCTTCTCCAGCGGGAAAGGGTATGCCTGCACGGCACGAGCCCACGCACCGCCGAGGAGGGTTGCAAAGTCTCCTCGGAGACCTGGGCAGGATCCTAACAATGAAATCCAGTTGTCCAGTCTTTATTTGTGGAGAGGGAAGGAGAATCCGAGGCCATTGGGCAAACCGCCCACTGTTGGGAGAGACTGACCTCACCAATCAATAATTTGCGTTTGACTAGGAAGTGCAGCGGTTCTTGGGGGGGAGGGGCTGGACTGGGTGGCGGAAGCAAGCGGCAACGGTTCTCCCGAACCTCTCTCCCGCATTCTTGGCCCACATTTTCCCGCTCCGTCCCAGGACTTGGACACCCAGAATCTAGGAAAAGTAACTTGCGATCGAGAACAGCTCTCGCACTCATCTACGTGATCTGCACCTTTAAACTCACTCTGTGCCGAACGGGACCCCGGAGGCACCACCCACATCCGTCTAACATCACTTCCTTCAGAGTTTGAAAAAAAAAAAAAAAAAAAAAAAAAAAAAAACTGGGAAGGCTACGGGTTGTGCTGACCGGCTCTCGGCTGGCGGTGTGGACCTTCTGCCGGGACTGCGGCCCTGCGTCCGCTCAGCCCGGTGGCTCCGCGCACCTACTGCCATGGAGACACGGCCTCGTCTCGGGGCCACCTGTTTGCTGGGCTTCAGTTTCCTGCTCTTCGTCATCTCTTCTGATGGACATAATGGGCTTGGAAAGGGTCAGACCGCGTTCTTATCTTACTCTTTACTGATCCTGGGCCACAGCGCACTATAACCTCTTCTTGCCCTAACACGTTCCCCTCACGTTCTATCTCTCAGGCCACGCCAGATTTCTTTTTATCTTCCCCAACCACTCCTGGAGTTTGAAGATTTCTTGGCTACCCCAGAAAGAGTAGCGGGTCTGGGCAATGGAGAAGCTGTACTTGAGGCCTCGCTAAATTCTTGGGTTGGGGGAAGGAATGGTCCGTAAATTAAGAAAAGCATGTTTAAGAGCCCAGCATAGTGCCTAGTACTTGGGAAGTCCTGAGGAACGGTCACTTCTCACCTGGAAGAAATAGAGCCGTTGGGGACCTGCGTATGCAGAGAACCCTGTCCTGGGTCTGAAGATTCCGCTCCTTACCTCTTCCGTGAAGACCTGGGTTACTGCCACTTCCTTGCCTTTGGAAGACAGCACCTGCATCCCAGGTAGCCATATCTAGTGCATAAGAAGGGCCAGGTGAAGGGTAGAAGGTGCTCTTTTAAGAGTTCCCGACAATTGTCCTTGCTGTGGTTCAGCGAGTGTGTCTTAAGACATTGAGTTTTCTGTGAATGAGCGATCAGTGGTTAGGTGTGGCCCCTACTCCATTCATTACCTACATCTCCATTCTATGTTTTAACACCTTTCTCCTCATCAGCCCTTACTTAGTTGAATGTTGGATTGACAGTCTGTGAACTCAGGGTTTATGCTTTTCTAAGTAGATGAATTGTAGCATGGATCCCAACCCCTCTTCCATTTTTTTTTCCACTGACCTTACTGTATGGAATGATTCTGCTGCAACCCTGCCGTTTTTGTTTTCTCTTTTTTTTTTTTTGAGACGGAGTTTCGCTCTTGTTACCCAGGCTGGAGTGCAATGGCGCGATCTCGGCTCACTGCAACCTCCTCCTCCTGGGTTCAGGCAATTCTCCTGCCTCAGCCTCCTGAGTAGCTGGGATTACAGGCACGTGCCACCATGCCCAGCTAATTTTCTGTATTTTTAGTAGAGACGGGGTTTAACCATGTTGACCAGGATGGTCTCAATCTCTTGACCTCGTGATCCACCCGCCTCGGCCTCCCAAAGTGCTGGGATTACAGGCGTGAGCCACCGCGCCCGGCCTGTTTTCTCTTATTATTTCACATCTATTGGTTGGTAGTAAGATTGGGTGGGCATTCATTTTGCCTAAATGCAGCCATTCCTTCATTCCAAAAATAATTTTGATCACCTTCTGTATTTTCTGTATTTCAGGCACTGTCCTAGGCATTGGGGATATAGCTGTAAACAGGACAGACAAGGTTCCTACTCTCGTGGAGCTTATTATATTCAAGTCAGAGAGACAGAGTGGACTCATTAACAAATTAATAAACAAGACAGTTTCAGCTAGGAATAAGTGCTGGGAAAACAACAAGACTGTGATAGGAAGTAGGAAGGCTGGGGAGGTTGGGGAAGCTGGCACATCACTTGAGTTATGAAGATCAGGGACAGCTTTTTGGAGAAGGTGATATGTGGGTTTCCATCTCAGTGATGAAACTGCATGACAAATTCTATTAGGCCAGAATGTTTTAAATACTGAGAATCCCATTTTAAAACAGATTATTGTATATTTAAAGTAAAATTGTAAGTACTGAGGGTAACAAGAGTATAGTGTTAGGAACATGGGTTTAGATCTGCGCTTTTTCTTAGGCTTTGTTTGTTTTTGTTTTGAGATGGAGTCTTGCTCTGCTGCCCAGGCTGGTGTGCAGTGGTGCGATCTCGGCTCACTGCAACCAACTCCGGGTTCAAGTGATTCTCCTGCCTCAGCCTCCCAAGTAGCTGGGACTACAGGGGTGCAGCACTACACCCAGCTAATTTTTTTTTTTTTGTATTTTTAGTTGAAATGGAGTTTCACCATGTTGGCCAGGCTGTTCTTGAACTCTGGACCTCAGGTGATCCTCCCTCCTTGGCCTCCCAAAGTGTTGGGATTATAGGCATGAGCCACTGTGTCTGGCCTAGATCTGAGTTTTAATTTGTTCTGCCACTCACCAGCTAAGTAGCCTTGGGCAAGTTTCTTAACTCTCAAAACCTCAGTTCCTCATCTGCAAAATGGGCATCATAACTACCTCAGACACTCAACAAATAATTTACTCTGTTCCAGTTACTGTGATAGGTATAGGTAATAACTTGAAGTCAGGTATTTTGTATCTTTATTACTTGTTAGATATTAAGCTTTGTGTGGTTGTTCTGGTTACCATTGTTGTATAATAAATCACCCCAAAATTTAGTAGGCATGAAGAAATCATTTTATTATGCTCACAATTCTGTGAGTAAGGAATTCAAACAAGGTACATTGGGGAAGGCTTGTCCCTGTTCTGTGATGTCTGGGGCCTCAGCTAAGCTGGTAACCTCTCCATGTGATCTTTCTGCATGAGCTGCTATGGGTTTCCTCACAGTAGCCTTATGGAAGGCTGGATTCCAAGAGTGAGTGCCATAGAGAACAATGTGGAAATGCATGAAATTTTTGTCATCTAGCCTTACAAAGCACATAGCATCACTTCCACTGTACTCTGTAGGGGCAGATTTAAGGGAATGGGACATGGAGGTTGCAGTAAGCTGAGATTGTGCCACGGCACTCCAGCTTGAGCAACAGAGTGAGACTCTGTCTCAAAAAAAAAAAAGAAATTAGGAGGTCAGGATTTTAATCCTGGTCAGGCCATTTAGTTCTGGTTCTACTTGGTAACCAATTAATCATTGAGAGAGTTGGACTAGAAGTAGTGCTTCCTAAGATCCCTTCCAGCTCTAACATTCTATAGTGTTCCAAAATAATTACATTGTTCTCCATGGACTAAAAATTTAGAATACATCACCTACAGGGAGAAGTAGTGACCAATATTTACTGTACATTTACTATCTTCCAGATGCTGTTTTGTGTGTACTTTTCATGTATTTACTAAGCCTATAGTAACCCTATAAGATGGATAATGTTTTTATCATTATCTCCACTTCACAGATGAAAAAACCTCAAATGAGGCACAGGAGTCTGGTGGATAGCTGGAATACAAATCCCAGAGCTACTGCCCTTAACCAGCACACCACTCCATTCTCACAGTGCAGAAACTGCTCTGAAGTTTAAAGGAGAAACTAGATAAACTAGAAAGCTGTCACTGGGAGTGGTTCTTGTCCTCTTCTGCCTGAAACAAAAATGGATAACTTTGTCAAGTCTCTGGAATAAAAATTTGGCACTTACACATATGAATTACCTGCAACACAGTGTTTTACTCACATTCACAACAGCCTATGGAGTACATATTTTTGTTAGCCATATTTTGCATTTATGAAAACAGTCAGTGACTGAAGAAGAATTCTAATGCAGATCTGTTTGACTGAGACAGACATTTAGCCACTATGTTCTATGTCTCAGGTACAGTGTTCCCTTTTTGAGAGGCTTGGCTGCTAGCTCTGATAACCTTTTGTTATTTAGGTTTCATCAGCTAGGAGGGGGTAGATAACACTTTTCAGATGTCCTTAGCTTACATTCATTAAAACAATTTTTGGATGAAGGGATTGGAAATTCAGATTAAATACTGTGTTTAGAAATGGTTGCTTTTCTTTCTTTCTTTTTTTAAATTAATGTTATAGGGTAAGAGGTGCTGATGTGGGAGACTTTACTTAACAGGTAACTGGCATAAATTAAGTGGCTATACAGGTGACACTTTAGCAAATTGGACTGCCTTCAGATGTTCCATGTTGGCCCGGGTGTGAGTGTGAGTAGTGCTGGGAGTGGACAATTTTAGCAACAAGGTAAACACTGTACCTTTTAAACTTATTTTTGAGGGGTAAACAAAAAAGTCCCTATTTTTCTAGATCTGAAGTTGGTGTTGTCATTCTGCTTTGGTGAAGCTGCATTCATTTGTTCATTTAATCTGTGCTAGAGAGGCAGTAAGGTGTAGTGAATGGTTGTTAACTACAGACCCTGGAACTCAACCACCTAGATTCTAGTCCCTTCTCTGCCACTTACTGGCAATGTAACCTTGGGCAAGCTGTTTCAGTTCAGCTTCCTTATTCGTAAAGGGATAATTAGAGTTTCTACCTCATAAAGTTATTGTGAGGATTAAATAAGTTAATATATATAAAAGCATTTAAGTGCCTGGCACATGATAAATTTCATATGTGTTAGTCATTATTAATATTGTTATAATTATTACAAAAAATAAGCACTTAGGCTGGGTGCAGTGGCTCATTCCTATAATCCTAGCACTTTGGGAGGCCGAGGTAGGATTGCTTGAGGCCAGGAGTTCAAAACCAGCCTAGGCAATATAGCAAGATCCTATCTCTACCAAAAAAAAGTAATTGCTAATAAGTGATGGTGGTAATTATTAGTATTATAAAATATTCCAGTGTAACTTGTAATATGACTTGTCAAGGAAATTTTGTACATGCAGTGGACTATTTTCATATGACACCTCTAGACTCACTCTTAGGGATATTGCAGTAGAACAGCTTGGGAAGTATTGGGATACTTGAAAAGCATGCTAATTAGGAGTCAGGAGACTTAAATTTTGGTTTTGGTCTACCTTGAAATGTTGGATAGCTTCTTTTCTAGGCCTCAGTAAAATGAGAGGGTTGGACTACATTAATCTCTAGGGTTGACTCTTTTTTTTTTTTGAGACGGAGTTTTGCTCTTGTTACCCAGGCTGGAGTGCAATGGCGCGATCTCGGCTCACCACAACCTCCGCCTCCTGGGTTCAGGCAATTCTCCTGCCTCAAGCCTCCTGAGTAGCTGGGATTACAGGCACGCGCCACCATGCCCAGCTAATTTTTTGCATTTTTAGTAGAGACGGGGGTTTCACCATGTTGACCAGGATGGTCTCGATCTCTTGACCTCGTGATCCACCCACCTCGGCCTCCCAAAGTGCTGGGATTACAGGCTTGAGCCACCGCGCCCGGCCCCTAGGGTTGACTCTTTAAATTTAAATTTATTAAAGTTAAAATAAAATTAAAAATTGAGC